ACAGGAGAAGGGAGGGGGGAGGGAAGGAACAAGGGCGAGGGAGGAGGGTGGAGCACGAAAGAGATTAGCAAGAGGTGGGTTAGGAGCAGGAAGACAAACGGCAGAACCAAACGGGCGGGTCGGGCAGGCGGACCCTAATGGGCGGGTCGGGGTGGCGGGCCCAGACGGCCGGGTCGTGCGGGCGGGTCGCTGAACCGTCAGCCTTGCATGAATCGCGACGGCGTCGCGAGCAATAGCGCGATTCCAAAATAAAGCATGAGGACGTCCAGAGCAGGAGCGTGATTCCTGCGTGTCGAGGGCGCGGCGACCGAATAAATCGCAAGGAACTCCGACGCGAGGGCGCGATTCCTGGGTAACTTGTGAGGAGGTCCCGCGCGAGAGCGCGATTCCTGGATAAATTGTGAGGAACCGTCAGGCGGGAGCCGCTGCTGTTCTAGATGAGGGGCCAGGGGCGCAGCCTGGTCCGAGGCGCAAGATTTCCCTTGCAGTAGAAGGCGCGGTGCGACCCCGGGAGGGGCACACCAATCGAACAAGTAATGCAGCTGGGGCGTTGACCCAAGGAACGATCAACAAGGAACGAGGCCCCTTGTTCCCATAAGTCAAACTTCGGCTCCCCATCGAAAACCGAAGGAACACCTAAGGTAGACTGTGAAACAACTAAAAACACGCTGCCCCTCCCAAACGAAAAGGGTTCCTTATTCAGCGCCCCGACTGCAGGTGCACACGAGTTAATCCCACCAGCCCTCTGGGCGTAGGTGGTTTAGGGAATTTCCTCTTCCACCCCTCCTTCTTCCCCTTCGGGGAGGGGTTTACCCCTCCCCCTAACCCCCTTCCCTGGACCTGGACGGGGGGTTTCGCTGGTAGTTGGAGCGTCCAAAACGGCCTCGGCGAGGAAGCCAAAATCATCGGTTTTACTAGGTTTTGGCCGATTTTAGAGGCTCCCGAGGGGGGACGCTAATTGGGGGACCCCCTTCCTTTGATCGATCACCTCCAAGATGGCCCCAGGAGCGCTCCCAAGGCTCCCAAGAGCGCCCCAAGAGGGCCTCAAGAGGCGCCCAGGAGGCCCCAAGAGGTCCCCAAGAGGCCCTGAAGAGGCTCCCTAGACCCCCAAGAGGCCTCAAGAGGATCCCCGAGGCATCCAAGAATCCCCCAGGCGCTCCAAGAGGACCCCAAAACAACTTCCAAGGGACATCCTAGGAGGCTCTTGTGCACGTCATTGTTCTTGTTCCTTCTCATCTTTCTCATCCTCCTCCTCCTCCTCCTCCTCCTCCTCCTCCTCCTTGTCGGCCTACTCCTCCTCCTTCTCCTCCACTTTATCAGCCTCATCCTCCTCCTTTCCTCTTCTCTTCCTCCCCCTCCTCATCCTCCTCCTCCCCCTCCTCCTCATCATCCGCCTATTCCCCCTCCTCCCTCCTCCCTCCTCCCACTTTTCCCACCTGCTGCCCCTCCTCCCCCTCCTCCTCCTCCTCCTCATCCTCCTCCGACTCCTCCTCCATCCTCGCCCTCTTGGGTAAGACGGGTCCCCCAGCCCTTTGCTACTCTGTATGCTCCCTCACTTCCCTGATCACCGCAATTCGCCTGGGCATCGTTTTTGGATGGGCTGGTGGGGATACTTGTTTGATCTGCGGCTCAAAGGACGGCTCCAGAGAGCGGGTCAATCTCGACAGGGGCGCAAAGCGAGACGATTGGCAACGAAGGCACAATCTCTGGTCTCTGGTGGGGACACGCGAAGCGTCAAGAATTGTGAAGAGGTATCAGGCGGGAGCTGCTGTTGTTGTAGATCGAAGGCCAGGGGCGCCATCTGACGCCCAAGACCTCCCCTTGTAGAAGACTGGGTGCGAGCCCCAAGAAGGACTTCAATGGAAAAAACTCATGATGTTACCGGAGGTGGGGGTCGACCATAATGACTCTTTCAACGTGAGAGTTTGACAGCACGTAATGTTAAGAGTGTTCCCTCTCCGTGGCTCGCGTGACACTCCGCCCGTTTACCCCAAACCCTCGCTGACCGCACTCGTTGTCTTCCATCGTGCCCCCGTTGGGGGTACATCTATGCCTTACCTGCCACGTGCAGTAGGCGCCGCCCCTAATGTAGGACGAGGAGGAAGGAGAAGGAGAACAAAAAGAGCGAGGGATGGACGAGGAAGCGACAGGGGGAGAGGGGGGCTAGAAGAAGGGAGGACGACCGAGGGCGAGGATGACTTGGCAGGGGGGACCGGAGCGGACCGGAGCTGCCCAATAATCCGTCCGGCGGGACGGTTCCGTAGTGCGCTTCGCGCACGAAAAGGCCATACATGTGCGCGGTAGTGTGAGAGCGTGAAACATTGAAACGTCAGTCGCTGGAGGACACACACACACACGAAGGCAAAGAGGGACGCACGACAAGCGAGGACGGGAGGCGGAGGCATAGGAGAGGGAGGGTCGAACAACGAGAAGGACGACGGAGGGCACGCGAACGAGAAGGCGTGCGAAGCCCCAAACAAAAGAATGAAGGACAGCCGATGGAGGGATTGAGAAAGCTACCTAGGAGGAGGGAGGAGGAGGAGGAGTCTGCCTCGCCTTGCAGAAAGCAGGCAGGGTGCGCCTCACGAGTCGTCCCATCTCCTGACAGGACGCCCGGCGCACCTGCGCGCCACTGTCTGGTGCCACGGCTTCCAATTCAAGAGCATATGCGGCCACTTTCCTCTGTCGTCGGCCAACAACTTTTCGGTGGATCTGCCCTTCTTCACTGGCTGGGTCTCCAGCCAACTCTTCCCGCCCATCTTTGAGACTTGGCAGGAGGGGAATGACAGAAGAGCAGTCAACCTGGAAAGCTGACCCTGACGGGCGGGCCGGCCCCGACGGGCAGGTCGGGCGGGGGGACCCTCCCAGGCGCGTCGGGTGGGTGTGGCCTCAGAGCGGGCCAAGCGGGCATCCAGGCGCGCGGGAGGCCAGACTTAGATTGCTCCCATCGTACTTAATGGCAAGATCCCAGAAATAGTTTCGAGCACCCAGGAAGAGTATCGAAACAGTGTCGAACGAGTACCGCCTCCCAGGGCCCGACACGTGAAACCCTCCAGTTTCGGTAGTGTCCTGGTGCCCACAATTATTCCTGGTGGTCAGCGCTAAACTAGGTTGGAGCATACGGCCAGACCCTGACAAGCGGGTCGGACGGGCGGGCCCTCACGGGCGGGTCGGGCTGCCGGACCCTCACTGGCGGATCAAGCTTTTTGCATCGGCGGCTAGGCAGGGGACGTCTGCGCTGGCGATGGGATGCCTAGACGGCGATGCCGTTATGGCGACTTGCGCCACCACGCAAGAGGAGGAGCAGAGGGAGGGCGCGGCCGAAAGAAGGTCGGACGGAACGGGCGGATCAAACAAGCGGACCCGAACGGGCGGGTTCGGCGGGACATCGGGGCGGGCGGGCGGCTGTCCAAGCAGGCGAGCCACAGGCGGACCCTGGCGGGCGGGTCGGGCGGGCGGGCCCTCACGGGCGGGTCGAGCGGGCGGAGCCTCACGGGCGGGTCGGGCGGGCGGACCCCAACGGGCGGGTTCGGCGGGACAGCGAGGCGGGGGTGGGGCTCCCGAGCAGGCGGACCACAAGCGGGCCCTGCCGGGCGGGGTCGGGCGGGCGGGCCCCGGCAGACGGGTCGGGCGGGCCGGCCCGCCAGGGCGGGGGAGGCGTGGAGGTGAAGTTCGAAAATTGCGAGGAGAGGACGACGACCACGACGACCACAACGACCACGACTGCGACTACGACCACGACCACGACCACGGCCACGACCACGACGACCACGCCCACGACGACCACGACCACGACCACGACGACCACGACCGCGAGCACGACGACGACGACGACCACGACCACGGCGGCGGCGGCGACGGCCCAGGGCGAGTACGAGTCCTGAGAAAACTGCGAGGAGGTCTCGCACGAAGGCGCGACTCCTGGACGTCGACAGCGCACCGCCGCAGCGAATTGCTTGGAGATCCAAGGAGAGGGTGCGATGCGTCGGTGAATTGTGGGGGCGTCTCGAGCGAGAGCGCGAGTTTGAATAAATCGCGAAGACGTAGCCAGCGGGAGCCGTTGCTGTTGTAGCCCAAGGGCCAGCAGCCCACTTTGAGGCCCAAGACTTTCCACACAAGAAACCATGTGCGAGCCCTGGGGGGCACTTCAATTGAAAAATACCACGGCCGCCGGGTAGGGGAATCAACCATAACTAATCAGCACAAGCGAAATTCAACCATCACCATCATGTGCGTGCGTTGCCTGTGCGTTGGATGATAGGTATGTCGCGTCACTGATCCTTCTTCCTCCTCCTCTTCCTCCTTTTCCTCCTCTTCCACTTCCTCCTCCTCCTCCTCCTCCTCCTCCTCCTCATCATCATCATCATCATCATCATCAGCATCATCATCATCAGCATCATCATCATCATCATCATCATCATCATCATCATCATCATCAGCATCAGAATCATCATCATCATCATCAGCAGCATCAGCATCATCATCATCATCATCATCATCATCATCATCATCATCATCATCATCATCACCACCACCACCACCATCATCATCATCATCATCATCATCATCATCATCATCATCATCATCATCATCATCATCATCATCCTTATCGTCTTCATTATCCTCCTCATCCGCACCCTCTCTCCATCATCCCTCATCTTGCCTGGCCCCTCATCTTCCCGCACCTGTCCCTTCGTGACAAAGCATCACGACCGCATCCTCTGCTACTCGACGATCGCCGTCATTGGAAACAGGACGATGGAGGGCGCGGGTGGCTATGGAAGGCCGCCCACGCACATCTGACACACATGGTCACTCAAACGATCTGATCCGCAATCGGCTGCTGAATGAGACCCTCGTCTGCATTGGTTGGTCTCGCCAGTTCTGGATGAGCCTGACCTCATAAGCGATCATATGCCAATGGCGAATCTGATTTGGGGGGATGGGAAGAGGAGAGGAGGCGCGACCGCCAGACCTCGACACCTCCACCCCAGGCCGACTGCATAATCATGGCCAACTTAGCACAGAACTCCAGGTACCCCTTCGTGGACCCGCTGGCGAGCTCTTCGAACCGCGCCTTGGTCAGGTCGGCCCCGAATTCCTGCCGCTGCATGTCTACTTATATTACTGTGGCTACTTATGTCCACAATTCGGCCACCAAGCTGGACACACGCACACACGCATATTTCTTGCTTCCTGACCAACTAGTCTAACACAGAGAGTGATGAAACGGAGCACGTTCATGTCGATTGATAAACACCGAGCGTCCGTCGGTGGGTGGTCGGGACGCCAGAAACGTTGCCGACACATGCAAGGGAAAGGGGGCAGAAGCCAGCGCACACGGCACATGCCGAAGACATGCACAACAGCGTAAACAAAAACTACACGAAACATGCAATAGCAGGTCAAGCATCATCAAACGCGACCCGCGTAAGAGAGCGAGACAGCGAAGAGTGGGTCAGAGAGGCAACACTACGGCGGCGAGAGTGCGCCCCGCTGTCAGGGCGGTGAGGGCGCCGGGTCGGCAAGGCGCGTCGCCAAGCTGCAAGCCCGGCAGCACCGCACGCGGCGCCAGACGACCCGGAAGAGCAGCAACGGCAGCAGGATAAGGATAAGGATAAACACATCGGAGGCGTTTCCCTGCCGTGGGCAAGACAATCAGGCCTCAGCGAGGAATGTTCACGCAAGAACCGTGCACTTAGCAGGGGCCTGCCTGGGGCATCCCCCAGGGGACCCGAGGGGGAGGCCCCGTTGCAGGAGGCTCAAAGGAGGAGGACGACACCCAAGGGGACCGGGACGAACCTGGAGCCGGGGGAAGGAGGGAGGCGAGCGACGGATGGACAACCCGAGAAAGGACGAGGCCTGGGCGACAGCCCGAGGGACGAGCAAGAGAGGAGCGGCGCAGGACGGCGGACACACGGGAGGACGACACCACCAGGCGGCAAACCGATGCTGGACTGGGGGCCGTACAGCCCAGAGAGGCCATTCGGCCGACGGGCCAGGCAGGCGACTCCGCGAGGGGCATCGTGAGACCCTCCCGAGGTATGGGCCGCTAGAGAGGCCGACCGCCTACTGGCCCAGCAGGCAGCTCCACGATGCGCCAGAATGTGCCCAGGCAGGCACCCGCAGGGGCCAGACGCGAGGACGCAGAGACGACACACTCTCACATCTACTTTTTGGGCTTTGCGGCCAAGCGCGCGGCAGCGCGGCGTAGGCAGTCGAGCGGAAGGAAGCGCGCGGCTGGGCCACCTCACGCGGCGAGGGAGGCCAGGGATCCGCCCATGGGGGGATCGACCGGGTCACCCGCGATGGGCGGCGATGGGGAACGGGGAGAGGGGGGGGTAGTGGTGGCGAGTGGAGATGCGCAGCGCAAGAAGCAAGAAGGGCGCAGCGCGGCAGCGAAACGGCACTCCGAAAGAGGGAGAGAGAGCAGCAGGCAGATGGCACGACCCGGGCAGACCAGCAGGATGAAACAAGCGCCGGGGGCAACGGAGACCGTGGCGGAGCAGCGGAGGGCTGACAGCGCGCACTCCTCCTCCTCCTCCTCCTCCTCCTCCTCCTCCTCCTCCTCCTCCTCCCCTCCTCCTCCTCCTCCCTCCTCCTCTCCTCTTCCTCCTCCTCCTCCTCCTCCTCCTCCTCCTCCTCCTCTCCTCCTCCTCCTCCTCCTCCTCCCTCCTCCTCCTCCTCCTCCTCCCCCCCCCACTCCTCCTCCTCCTCCTCCTCCTCCCTCCCCCACCCCTCCTCCTCCCTCCTCCTCCTCCTCCTCCTCTCCTCCTCCTTCCTCCTACTCCTCCTCCTCCTCCTCCCCATCCTCCTCATATGACTCGTCCCTTTTCCTCCTCCTCCTCCTCCTCCTCCTCATCCTTCTCCTCTTCCTCCTCCTCCTCCTCTTGACGATGCGCGGAATCACTGCAATAGCATGTGATGGCCCTGAACTGGTGTGAATACGTTTATCACGCCACGGTGGTGACACAGTGCCAAAAAAGCACCGATGTCCAAGTTAATGCAGGAGGAACATGGCGAAAGCGAGCAGCGAGCGCGGCTCGGAAAAGGGAAAAACCATGAATGAGTGGAATGGATGAGGCCACAAGAGGGCATGTAGCACGCGCAGTCAAATCCCATCCCCCACCCAAACCTAAGAAACCGCTCCCCCGTACCCTGAGTCAAGGGGCCCACTTGGTGGGCCGCGCTAGCCCTCACCGAGGGCGTTGCGCGAAGGATCCTCGCCTGCACCTTCAAGTCCCGCGGGGGGTTCGCGGTTAACTTCTAAGCTCTGAGGTGTTGATTCGACGTTCTTGTGGGCTTAGCACCAATCATTACGTGCAAGTGACGCGCAGAACGCAGGCAGGTCTGTTCAAGTTTTTTTGAGAAGAAGGAGGGGCAAGCAGGAGGGGACGATCGCAACAGCTCTCGAATCACCAGTGCACTCCGTGGCGACACGCGGCAGAGATTGACCAGCTGCTTTATTTACAACAACATCCCAGAAGTAAAAAAGCACTGGAGCGAAGAACTGAAGTTGCCAGCCGGGCAAACGTCACCACATTCAGGGGGAAGGGGAAGAGGAGGGGGACGAAGAGAAGGAGGAGGAGGAGGAGGGGGAGCGAGACAAGAGATACCAGCTAGAGCCAGGAGCAGCGTTCAGGCCAACCTGCAATAGGCGAGCCGTCGCGCGCACCCTGGTTTTGGTGGGCACTAGAGCTGGTTTTAAAAGACCGCGGAAACCATCGCCCGACTGCTCGGCAGTCTAGGCACCCACATGGCCACGGCAGCGCAAGCGCAGAGAGAGAGAGAGAGAGAGAGAGAGAGAAAAAAAAAAAAAAAAAAAAAAAAGGAGGAGAGGGAAAGGACGGGGGAAGCGCACGACCGCAGTCAGTGCGAAAGCCTCTGGTGTAGCAGCGGAAGCCGTCCCCAGGGCGGGTGGAGGCCGATGGGCGGTTGGAGACGGGCAAAAATCTGCCGGCCTTCCAAGGGCCCGTCAGCGCAACGCCCCGCTCCGGGCTCGTGCACTGAATTCGGGGGGGAGGGCAAAGGAAAGGTGAAACCGAATTCCCGCGAGCACTCCTGAGAGGCAGGTCTGTTCACGTAACCACAACTGCTACAGTACGTCTAATCGCATGTTGGTCCTTCGGTCGGTACCTCGTGATTCGGGTGGTGTTTGCCTGCGCGCAAACACGCCAAATGCGCGCCGCGTGAAGCACTCCTCAGCACCTCGGCCCTGACCCAACTCCACCCATCACGACTGCCCACGCCTGCAAGTTACAGTTTTTATGCCCTCGCCGATGGCTATTTAAACTCGCGTGAAGAACTGGCACGATGTGTGCGCCGATGCGCATGCAAAGCGCTTAAAGTGACTGCGCCATCACCGAGGGCAGCGCGCGAGAATGTAGCTGCGCTAAAGCGGCAAGCAGAAGATGAGAGGCTGGACCGAGGGCAGTAGCAGAAGATCTTCTCCACACACCCTATCTGTCAACCATCCCTCTTCAGTAGGACGACGCGCCAAATGCGCGCTGGGGCGAGTGTCGCAACGGCGCTGGCTGCGCTGATCCATTTAGAACAAGCTCGTACGTTCACGGTGCGCACCACGCATGCAAAGAAGAGGAAGAAGAAGGCACGAGTACGTAGGGCAGAAGAGGGAGAAGAAGAAGAAATATGGGGCGTCACGCATGTTCCACAGGACAACAACAGTGTCGCCACAGCAGGTAATGTATGGTTTAAAAACTGCCTTCAGTAGCAGGGCATGACAAAAGGAAACGCCACATTACCGACTTTTTACTTGAAATCTGTGGCGAGACAATAGGAGCTCTGACTGCACAAGCGAAAGGTTATCCCGATGATTCGATTAGACCAGCAACGAACTTAACCTCACCGTCCCTTGTCATAGCTTGTGGCGCGCATGCAACAGTATCTGCAACAGTATGTGCAACAGTATTCAATGCTTGAGGCGCGTTTGGAACAATGTTTGTTGACGTGTCCCATGCTTGCGGCGTGTCTGCAACAGTATCTGCCTCAGTAGCCAATGCTTGCGGCGTGTCTGCAGCAGTATCTGCCACAGTAGACAATGCTTGAGGCGTGTTTGCAGCAGTATCAATTTCAGCTGAGTAAATGCGCCCAGTCGGCTCTGAGCCCATAGAAACTGTGTCAATTGAGTTATCACATGTGTCCTTGCCTGCTGGAGCTGCTGCACCTTGCATCGGCACCTGTTTGCTGGGGTCTATGATGCGGCTGCGTGTGCCGGAACCATACCCCACGTGATTGTCCAAGGGCATCCAGCCCAAACGTGGAAAGAATATGAGAATACGGCCTTGAGTGTCGCACCACTGTCTTCGGTCAGCTTCTGCCTGTTCTGACGAGCTGATCAAGGGCGCAGAAGACGATACTGTATATTCGCCAACTGCCATGACACTAACAATTTGGTACTGCATGTTCGACTGGCCGCTCGGGGATCCTAAAGAAGAGTGGGGACCGATGCTGTGGCGGAGCCAAGTGCTGCATGCTATCTGCAAACATGGGAGTGTAGCTTGGTGCAAAAACGCGCGCTTTTTATATTAAGCCCACCAACCTGAGAAATTGAAGTGTCAACTGTACTACTACTGCCAAGTTCCTTGGCAGACGTTCGAGATTGCATGTATGTGTGTTATGTTCATGCTGGCGTTGATGCGACCCTCTGTTCTGCAAACACGAGTGGAGTAGCCGATGCGATGCACTGCCTTGTCCAAGTGTTTTGGGCACAGCCATGTGGACTGCGAGCGGGTGCGAGAGAGACGATGAGCACCTTACGTGGCCTCGAAGCGGGTGAGCCCAGATGGGCGAACTGGCTTCGGCAGGAGTTCTCGTATTTGTCGCGGGATGGCCCTGCTGCTGGGGCGCCAGGCCTGGCGGCAGTCCTCTTCGGGCCCGCAGTTTCCTCCTCCTCCTCATCATCATCATCATCCTCATCCTCCCCCTCTACTGCTGGTCTTATTATAATAATGATAATATTGCTATTCGTACTAATATTATGACTAGCACTCGTAGCATTATTACCCTTAGTAGTAGTAGTAGTACTATTACTATTATGTCCATCAAATGATTACTCTTCTTTTGTGTACATTGTTCTTCTTAGTCTTTATTGTAGTGTTCTCATTCTTCTTAGCACAAACAACATCATTTCTATTACCATTGCGGAATATTATTGGTATGGAAATGCTCGTACGTGCTATTACTATTATTGTTAGCACTTCCAATCGCATTCCTATTATTCTTATTATTACTATTCCTCCTCTTCCTCCTCCTCCTCCTCACACACACACACACACACACGTTGGCGTCGCGGCACCGCGCGCAGCATCGCGCCGGAGTAAGGCGCGCGGGAGCGGCGGAAGGACGGCCGCCGGCCAGCACTCGCATGTCTAGGGCGGGAGCAGGGTGGGGAAAAGGGGCCTCCACCAGAGGGACGCAACTCCTACGGAGGGACGAGGGAGAGGCTCTTCACCATGGAAAGAGAGATACGGTGAGGGCACTGGGCAAGAAACCCTTGGATATAAGGAACCCACGGTCTGAAAGCTGGTGGAATGCCAACTGAGACTTGGCCATGGATACCACCGCCGCCATCATCAGACTAGGAATACCCAAAGGTCTGAAGCCTCCTGGGCATATTCCTTAACGAACACCCCCACCCTACCGCCACACAGCTGCAAGCTGCACAGAAGTCCTATCAGCGAGAGGAGTAGGCTAGCTCTCTCGCCCATCAGCTCGCATGGCGAATCCGATCAAACTGCAACTGAAAAATCGTGAGACAGCCCCGGCACGAGGAGGAAGCACAAGAGGAGGGGACACGAAAGGAAGACGAGAGGGGCGGAAATACGGGCGGTGACTCGCAAACGGGCACGAGCCGGGCAATGTCAGTTGGGCCATGGAATGGCTAAGATTAGGTCGGGCATGTCCCCCCGCAGGCGGATTTTGTCGAGAAATTTGAAATACTCCAAAAATACCCCCAAAAATCGTCCCCTGACTATTTTTTTCTATTTTTGAATATCCCTCCTGTAGAAGGACGTGCCCGACTTACAGGTATGGCTCTTGCCCTTGAGAGCTCGGTGCCTGGCTCGCGCCATGCCCGCCGTCGTGGCAGGCCCGGCCAGCCGACCCTGACAGTCCACCAACGCGCAGATTTATGACATGCCCGACTTAACTCTAGGTTTTTGAAAATTCTCGGCACGATCTGAGACTTCCGGAGCCTGCGGAAGCCTCCCGACCCCCCGCCCTGGGGGGCGGGGACTGGGGAAGGGGGGAAAGGAGGAAGGGGGAGGAGGAGCAGCGGCAGCAGGAAGCATGGGAAGAAGAAAACAGAGTAGGATAAAGAAGGATGGAGTAGACGAAGACTGAGGCGCGCAGATCCATCCGAGGGGGAAGGAAGGAGGGGGATGTGGCGGGCTCCAGAAATCCTGAACCCAAAAACGGTGTCATCTCTTGGGGGGAACTTTTTACTTCCGCCGCCTTCCGCCGGCCTTCCGCCGCCTTCCGCCGAGGAAGAGATGGCAACTCCTTCGATCCGCGAAGGCGAGGCTCTGTCTGGAACGCCCCATGTGGAAGGAAGGGGGCCCGTTGCAGCGGCCGTCCTCGCATGCCTCCCGGTGTTTGAAGCCGTCCTCGTAGCTCAAGAACGTCTGGTCTAGGTCGCACTCGCGGGAGAGCAGTACGCCGAGTTGCTCGTCGGTGTACCACCTGGGCGACGGGCAGCTCATCGTCGTCGTCGTCGTCGTCGCCGTCACCGTCGCCGTCGCCGTCGCCGTCGCCGTCGCCGTCGCCGTCGCCAACGACGTCGCCGTCGTCGTCGTGGTCGCCGTCGCCGTCGCCGTCGCCGTCGTCGTCGACGTCGTAGTCCGTCCGTCCGTCCGTCCGTCGATGTCGTCGTAGGTGACTTTTCGCAAGATTTCTCGTGGAGGAGGAGGGGCGCGACCACACAGCGTCACCACACTCGGCCTGGACCGCTGTGCGAATCAAAAGTCGCCAGGCAAACGGGGAAACCCAGAAAAGCCGAACTGGGAGAGTCAAACCCACGCACTGAACCGTGGCCTGAATGATGAACGAGCGTGCCGCATGCGACCGGAGAGGAAAAAGGGAGACTCTACGCACGATGGCACGGCAGCCTCACGCAGTGGCTTACGCGGGCTGCCCACGCGGCACACCGAGCGGAAAAGAAGGCGCTCATTCTGAGATCCTGGCATCGGTTTTCCGCAACGGCCGAATTTTTTGCCGTGTTTCGGGCCCCGGGGCCCTCACGGATCGATTCGGCTCGAAAACGGCTACAGAGAGACGTGGTCTACGATTCAGTCGGGCGTGTCCCCCTACAGGCGGACCTTGGAGGAAAAAAGTTAACCAATCAAAAATCTTCAACCAAATGCCCAGAAATAGTCAAAGAATCGTCCCCAGACTATTCTTTGACTATTTTTGAAGACTCCCCCTGTAGAGGGACAGGCCCGATTCAAGTCTGGGACTCTGGTCGTGATCTTTCGCGATGTGTGTCGCAATGTGGGATCTCAGGGGCGGCAAGCCACGCGGAAGAATTATTGTTCTTCCCGACCTCACTGACCGCACGGCACCACAGCAGGGCTGCGCCGCAGTGTGAAACGGAGCAGCAGAGGGCGGCTGCCAACTCGCACACAACCGCGCGCAGAATATTCAAATGAGCCATGGCAAAGGTGCTCCGGGTTTCTTACTACGCGTAGGGGGGTGCCCCCCCGACGGGGGTCTATCTCGCCTCGTCGTCGCGCCGCGACGGGGGTCGAAGCGCCTTCGGCGCGCGGTGGCTGCCCGTGACGGGGGTCGATGCGGGGCTATCGGCGGGGGTGACGCCCCCCCGACGCTGATCAAGAAACTCGGAGTATTCGAATGAGCCATGGCACAAAGGTAGATGACCAAAAGCGAAGCGGCAGGAGGAGGAGGCCAGGAAGCAACAACAGGACAGGGGCGCGCTGCACGTGCCTGCGAACGTCGCCACAGGCTTCGCTGGAGGCGGACCGCAGAATTGTCCCACACGTGCGCGTGAAGAGGAGCCCGCGCGTGCGCACACCGAGCAGGCATTGCTGGTGGCACTCGCACCAGAATCCCTCGCGGGTAGGAGCAAGCCAGACGAAGGGCACACAAGAGGGGAAGGAGAGGGGAGGCAGAAGGGACGACAGGCGGATGAGAACAACAACAGCACACAGCAGGCAAGGCAAGGCAAGCAGAGTCAATCTCTGACGTCGCTGCCTGGCGGCTTCGCGCCACGCCTGGGCCCACCATGGCGGCAGGCGGGCAAGCCCAGCGCAGAGGCTGGGGTCGGCCGCCGGCGGCCGTAAAGGGGCCGGGCCCATGCCTGCAGTTGCCGTTAGACCACCAATTGAATAGGACAACGCATGCAGAGCACAAAGAATATGGAGGCCAGGAAGAAAGGGGACAAGGAAACGGAGAACTGAAATACTGGCACACCGCTCGGATGAGAGGGTGCTTTCTGGTGCCCTTCCGCGGGCAATTCACGCACGCATGTCAGCGCGGACGACTCCGTTTTTGTGCCGCCCGCCTGTCGACCCTGCGGATCACCCTGTGCAGGTGCGCGAGGCATTGCGGCATGAAGTCCTCTAGCTCTTCAATCCTGGTGCCGTTGGCGCTGGTGCGCAACCCGAACATGTCGAGCAGAAATTTGGAACGGTAGCCGTCGGGGGTCGTCGTCGTCGGCGCCTCCACGGGAGCATCTGGAGAGTCTGCAGCAGATCCGCCTGGCGAGGGACCCGCAACCCGCCCGTCCAAGTCAGGGGAGAAGCCCTTTGGGGGGGGGGGGGGGGGGGGGGGCTTCTTCCTCCTCCTCCTCCTCCTCCTCCTCCTCCTCCTTTTCCTCCTCCTCCTCCTCCTCCTCCTCCTCCTCCTCCTCCTCCTCCTGCTCCTTCTGCGGTGCAGCCTGGGCGCCTTGTGGCACCTCCTGAATAAGGTGCACTGCCGATGATCCCATTTGGGCTGAGGCATGTCCCCTTCCCCCCCCTCCCCCTCCTAGGGGCGATCGCTGTGATGGCGTGAGCTAGGAGGCCCCTCCCCTCCACCCCCTCCACTTCGGACCCTCAGAAAGGGAAGGCGGCACGGCTCCTGGGTTGAAAAGGCCAGGGGTGGACGTTGTGCGCACCCTTAGCCAGAGAGTGGCCCTGCCCTCCCCCCTTTCAACCCCTCCCAGGTCCTCGTAGACAGGTTTGAGCCCTGGTGGTTGGGTCCTTCGCCGAAGAGTCGGGTTCGTATCCTGACGCGGCTGATGCCGAGGTGCCGCGCTGATGCGCTGTAGGGCACCATCCTGGCTTATGCCCGTTGCCTGCCTGGGCTTGGGGCTCGCGCTGGAGGAACAACGATGTGAGACGTACACACGGGGGTCGGGCGCTGGGCAACCGCTCCGTTATCTGGGGGGGGTGTTGCCCCCTTTTTATGGCTTTCCTCCTAAGGCGCGCGTGTGCGGCGCTATTGGAGGTTAGCCTGTCAAAGGGTGCCGAGGACGGTCCCTTGCTTGTGCCCGCATCCCCTCATGCATTTGTGCCCTTGCGCTGATGCGCAACGCGGAACCCTGTTGTGGCAGATACCGTCCCGGTGCAGCCAAGTATGTGGGCTGCCTCTCCTCCTCCTCCTCCTCCTCCTCCTCCTCATCATCATCATCATCATCAGCATCAGCAGCAGCAGCATCAGCAGCAGCAGCATCATCGTCATCATCATCAGCATCATCATCAGCATCAGCATCATCCTCATCCTCATCCTCATCATCATCCTCATCCTTATCCTCATCACCATCACCATCACCATCATCATCATCATCATCATCATCATCATCATCATCATCATCATCATCATCATCATCATCATCATCATCCAAAACCTCCTCCACCCCCTTCTCCTCTTCCTCCTCCTCCTCTTCCTCCTCCTCCTCCCTCTTCTTCTGGCTCTCTCCTTCTCCTCCTCCTCCTCCTCCTCCTCCTGCTGCTGCTGCTGCTCCATAGTCCTCCCTCCTCTCCTCCCCCCCCTCCTCCCCCCCCTCCTCCCTCCTCTTCCTCCTCCCTCTTCCTTCTCCCTCCTCCCTCCTCCCTCCTCCCTCCTCCCTCCTCCGCCTCCTCCACCCGCCTCCTTCCTCCTGCCTTCTCCCCTCCTCCTCGTCCTCGTTACCATCCTCGTCAGCTCCTTCTCGTCCTTCACCCCACCCTCCTCACCCCCAAATCGTGGGCAGGCCACCCGCGTCGCTGGAAAAGACGCCTGCCCCTCCGCGTGGGCCAAGCCCGCTCAAGGGGAGGCACTCCACCTGCCACTCGTCGGGGGCGCCCAAGAGGATGGGGGGGCTCGCAAAACATAGCCAGAGGCATGTGCACGGACGAGGAAGCCCAGACATGATCGCGTCGTAAAAAAAAATCCGAACGGGAGGTCTTGGGCCATTTTCGGCCTCGGGGGGCCCTCGCCAGGATGAAAGACCGGTCCCGGAAAAAGGGTCGGGACTTCCAGAAACCCCGCGTTGAAAAAGTCAGGACGTCGCATGTCTGGAGGGAGAGGTCCGAGAGGGGCCCGAGGGGAGGCCGGTCGTCGTCGACTCGTCGTGGTTCGTCGTCGTCCAAAAGGGAGTCCGAGGGGGGTGCGAGGGGCGTCCAAGGGTGGGGTCGTTCGTCGTCGACTCGTCGTCGTTCGTCGTCGTCCCAGCGGGGAGCCCGGGGACGTGCTGAGAGGAGAGCAGGGGGCCATGAAATCCGGGGTGACTTCATGGCCTCAGCCAAGATGTCCAGCCCCCTAATCATCACCCCCTCTTGGCCACCACTGTGCTGCACCTTCGGGGGACCTTTGTCTGCCCCGTCGCGCCGCGATCCGCGTCGAATCCGTGTCGAATTCGTGCCGAGTTTGCATCGAACCCACGTCGCGTCCGCGTCGTGTCCACGCCGATTGCTCGGCGAATCCGCGCCGAGGGCGCGTCAGATTGCAGAGAAGGCAGCCATTTGCGGGACAAACGAGGCCCCCCGAAGATGCAGCGCAACCACCCCCGACTTCCACTGGCTCGGCGCATGGAAAAAATCGGCGCTGCCGCCCTCGAGGCCTGGTTCGGGCAGGCGGCGCGTCCAGGGGGGTAATGGGGCGCGGAGGCGGCCTCCTGAGAGGGCAGGCGGGCGTCGTACAGGACGTATAGAGAACGGTTAGAGAACGTCGCTCTTCAGGACCAGGCGTTTGGGGAACGTCGTTCTTCATATTGATTGCGTTTGCCGGGCCGGGCAGACCAGCTGGCAGGCTGCAGTCAAAGATCGACGCTCGAGCAGCAACATCCCAATACGGCGCAAACAGTTGACCCTGGAGAGACTCTGGAGATGATCCGGAATCCTTCTCGCCGACAACAGCGCTGTTTGGTGGGCTTGCTGTCCCGGCTCGTGCAGCCGGCGTTCTAGAAGGCATCGGGCCCAGACCTCCAGGATCGCAAGTTCGAGACTCGAGGATCGAGCTGGAGAGCTGTTTCCGCCTTGTTTGGGCCTCCAGGGAGCCCCTAGTGGCAACGGCTGGATCAGCCTTGAAAGACTTGCCAGAACGCACCCCCAAACAGGTTCGGGGGGATGATTTCGACCCCCAGGCCCCGACTTCCTCTCGCTGTGAAAAATTACGACGGGGAGGTTTTGCCATTTTCGGCTTCGAGGGGCCCTCTCTGGACCATAAAATCATCCAAAAACGACACAGGACGAAAAGCCGGTCCCTGAAAAGGGGTCCAGGCTTCCAGGGATCGACGCTGTGAAAAAATCATGACGTCGGAGGTCGGCGTTGGCGTCGGCGTCTCGGCGTTGGCATCGGCATCGGCGTCGGCGTCGGCGACGGCGACGGCGTCGGGGTCGGCGTCGGCGTCGGCGTCGGCGTCGTCGTCATCGTCGTCGTCGCCGTCATCGTCGGAGGTCTTGAGAGCTAAGAGGCCCCCTGCCCTCTGAGGAGGTCGCCCCCCTCACCCAGATCAGACCAGAATTCGCTCAGAACGCATCCCTCAAACTCTCCCCGCGTCTCACCCTCCCACCATCAACGCGCCTCCTCCTCCTCCTCCTCCTCCTCCTCCTCTTCCTCCTTCTCCTCTTCCTCCTCCTCCTCCTCCTGCTCCTCCTCCTCCTCCACCTCCTCCTCCGCCTCCTCCTCCTCCCCTTCCGCCTGATGATCCGCCACATCCTGGCAAATACTCGAAGCTACTACCCCCCAATGTCCATAGGGATCGGGGGAGGGAAAGAAGAATATGAGGATGAAGAGGAGGAGGAGGAGGAGAAAACATGAGGAATAATAATATTAATATAGTGAAACATAACAACTATGAAGACAATAGGTACACTGAAGCGAGGAATGAGAGAGCGTGATCCACCGCCGCTTTACTGTGGAAAATTGCCAACCTTTTCCTCCGGAACCCGGGGTCGCCCCCCCCCCCCCCCCTCCGAAAATCCCCCCCCCCCCTGCTGAACACCCCCCCCCCCCCCCCCCTCCCCCGCAAAACCCCCCCCCCCTAACCCCTCCCCCCCCCCCCCCCCCCCCCCCCCCCCCCCCCCCCCCCCGCTCGAAAACCGGGGGGGTCACTACCGTTGAACCCCCCCCCCTTCCCCCTCGAAAACCGGGGAGGCCACTACTGGTTCGAACCCCCCCCCCTCCCGGGTCACTACCGTTCGAACCCCTCCCGCCCTACTCACCGCCAGCAAACGACTCCCGGTCCCCACCACCGTCCGCATCACATCCCCCACTGGTGTTCCAAGCACCACTGTCCTCACCACCGCTGTCCCCACTGGTTCCACCACCGCCCCTACTGTCCCCACCAGTGGCCCCACCACTGTCGCACTGTCCCCGCTGTCCCCAGCACTGTATCCACCACGGTTCCACTCTCCCCACTGTCTCCACGGCCCCAACCACTGCCCGACTATCCCCACTGTCCCCACTGTCCCACTGACTCCTCCGCTGTCCCACTGAGCTGTGCCACTGTTCCCACCACTGTCCCCACTTTCCCCACCACTGTCCCCACTGTACCTCTGTCCCATTGTCCCACCGCCGTCCTCGCCACCGCCTTCACCACTGTCCCCACCACCATTGTACCCTCCACTGTCCCACTGTTTCCACCTCATTCCCATTGTCCCCACACCACTGTCCCCACCACCACCGTCACCACCACTGTCCACTGTCCCCCCCTGTTCCCACCATTGTCCCCACCACTGTCCCCACCACTACCGTCCCCCCCACTGTCCCACTGTCCCACTGTCCCCACCACTGTCCCGCTGTCCCCTCACCACTGTCCCCACCAACACAAAGAGGGAACCCCGTCCCTGTCCGCCCCCCACCCCGAACTGGTTTTTCGAGAGTGTGGGGGGGGGGGGGGGGGGGGGGGGAGGGGGTTCGAACCGTAGTGGACCGCCCCCCCCCCTTTTCATGATGAGCAGGGGGGGGGGGGGGGGGGGGGGGGAGGGGTTCGAACCGGTAGTGACCCCCCCGGTTTTCCGGAGTGGGGGGGGGGGGTGGGTTGGGGGGGGGGGGGGGGTGGGGGGGGGGGGAGGGTGTCAACCGGTAGTGACCCCCCCCGGTTTTCCGCCAGCAGCGGTAGAACACGCTCTTTCCGAGGAATCGAACCAATTAGGGCATTAGTCGAAGCGGAGATCCCCATATGTGCATCTAGTTTCCTAGCACTCTCCGCTGCGAGCGTCCCTGCGGTAGTGACCCCCCCCGGTTTTCCGCCAGCAGCGGTAGAACACGCTCTTTCCGAGGAATCGAACCAATTAGGGCATTAGTCGAAGCGGAGATCCCCATATGTGCATCTAGTTTCCTAGCACTCTCCGCTGCGAGCGTCCCTGAGAGTCTGGGTATGGGTGGGCTGAGTATGAGAATGCGAATGCGGGTGAGCCTGAGTGCGAGCGAGCCGGAGTAAGTGCGAGTGAGTCCTAGTGTGAGTGAGTCTATGCGTATGAGTATGAGTATGACTAAGTTTAGTGTAGGTGTGTCTGAGCCCGAGTGGTCTGAGTTTGAGTGCGATTGACTCTGAATACGAAAAACCCGAAAGAAAGCAGGCGTGAAGGCGACAAAGAGAAAGCATTTCCTTCTCCTCCTGCGTCCTCCTTCGTCCCAGGCCGTCCGTCCTCCTCCTCCTCCTCCTCCTCGTCCTTCTTGTCCTCCTCCTCGTCCTTCTCGTCCTCCTCCTCCTCCTCCTCCTCCTCCTCCTCCTCCTCCTCCTCCTCATCCTCCTCCTCCTCCTCCTCCTCCTCCTCCTCCTCCTCCTCCTCCTCCTCCTCCAGGCGGCCATGCTCCCCCTCCACCTGCGTCCTCTTCCTTTTCCTACTCCCTCCTCCTCCGTCCTCCCTCTTAACTCCTCCACCCTGGCAAGCGTCCCCCTCCCTGGCGGCTCCTTCTCGGGCTGCCACATGCCAGCGCCTCGCCCGAGATATCCTAAGAATCTGCTCTAAACGCAAACGATCCTGGCCACCAGAACAAGCAAACCGCTCGAGACATCCTCGCAATCTGGGCCCCCTGCGGTGCAAAAGCCAGCGCCTCGCCCGAGGCATCCTCAAATATGTTCCGACAGCGGAGGATGCTGCGGCACAGAACAAGCAAACCGCTCGAGACATCCACGCAATCTGAGCGCAAACGGAGGAATGAGATATACCCTGGTGGCTCCCTCTTGGGTGCGCTGAAACCAACGCCTCGCCAGAGACATCCTCAGACTCTGCTCTGAACGCAGACGAACCTGGCAACCAAAACAGGCAAACCGCTCGAGACATGCTCGCAACCTGGCCCCCCTAGCGTGCGAAAGCCAGCGTTTCAATCTGCTTCGGTAGGGAAGATATTGGGAGCGCAAACAAGCAAGCCGCTCGAAACATTCACGCAATCTGGGCGCGAACGGAGGAGCGAGATACCCGATGGCCGGCCCCCCTTGGGCGTGCTGAAACCAGAGCCTCGCCCGAGACATCCTCAGATTCTGGCCGGCCCCCATCATCATCATCATCATCATCATCATCATCATCATCATCATCATCATCATCATCATCATCATAATCATCATCATCATCATCATCATCGTCATCATCATCATCATCATCATCATCATCATCATCATCATCATCATCATCATCATCATCATCATCATCATCATCATCATCATCATCATCATCATCATCATCATTTTTTTCTCACGATGAATCCCCTCTCGCGGCGGTTGTCAGCAGTGGCAGTTGTCAGCACCAGAGCGCACAACCTATGTAAAGCGACAAACACCACGCAGCCTTATGCACAGCCTTATGCGCAGAAGGAGGCCCCCTGTATAGAGGCACGGCGTCGGTTTACAGTCGCAGTACAATATTCTACCAAAGTCAGCGAAACGCGTGGACAGCAGCAGCAAAAGCAGGGAGAGGGAAGCAGGCGGCAGGGAGGAAAGGGGAGGAGCAGAGAGCAGCACGGAGAGAGGCAGGAAAGCGAGCGAGAGAGAAGGCAGCAGAGCAGGGAGGAGGGAGACCAAGGCAAGCAACAAGCAGCAGCAGGGGGACGGGAGGCCGAGGAACTGCAGGCCCAAATGAAACACAGAGAGCCAACACAGGACGCGAGGAAACTGGGCGAGAATCGCACACCAGATAATAGACAACGGCGAAATAACTAAGGCGGCTGCGGCAAAGCCGCAAGGAGCCAAGCCGGCGACGGCGACAGCGCGGGCCAAGAGCGGCGCCCTACGGGAGCGGCTCGCAAGACCGGGCGGCCAACGGCCCACCAGCAGCCCCAGGACGCAGCGGGCGCCCCACGCGCAAATTGAAATGGGGGGCAAAGGAAAGGGCAGAGGAGGAAAGAGGAAAACAAGAAAAACCCATCACATTGCTGGCCTCACTCGCACTGCTCACAGCCGCCGTACTGCTCACAGCCGCGCAGCTCGCAATACTGCGCCCCTCAGACCTGGGCGTCAAAGTCGCGCTGTTCACAGACGCGCCGCTCCTCACATTGCACACCCAACACCTGTATGCCAGAGTCGTGCTGATGCTCCCCACTGTGCTGCAGGGCGACGTGCTGCTGGTCGCCAACGTGCTGCTCGCAGCCGCGCTGCTCGCAACTCTGCTAGTCCCTGAAATGGGCGTCGCAGTCACGCTGCTGCTGACGACTGCGCCTCCGGGTGTCGCGCGGCACGTCGCCATCGTGCTGCCCACAGACCTGCTGCTCGATGCGCTGCGCGCCCACCTCATTCGAAGAGCTCCGGCTTCCGCATCTGCTCATGGCTGCGCTGCTCAACGATGTGCGGCTCGGCGACGCGGTGCAAGTTGCTCACGCGCTGGCCCATGCCGTACACAGGTCCTGACGGAAGAAGAACCTGGGCTGCGCTGGTGGCTGCACTGGCGGGTGCAGGGCTGGCCTGCAGTGGGGCCCATCTGCTCGGTCCCGTTGGTCGGAGTCCCAGTGCTCCGTCGTCGTACCACGACTGAGTGCCAGAATCGCGTTGTAAGTCCCCGAGTTACTGCTGACGCCGTTCTGCATGACGCAGCCGCACTGCTCACGGGGCTGTGGTGCTCGTGGAGCCCGTCGTGCTGCTCAAGGCGTGCGCTTCGGCGTAAGCCGGCTAGCGTTACGACAAGGCGAGGGCGGAAACCGCGACACGTCCAGGCGGGTATTCCGTGACATCACGAGGCCCCCAGTGCGACGAGCGTCATAGCAAAGGTCGTGGCGAGGCTGATCGGGGGTAGCATGTTGTAGCCCATGTGGGTGGTGGCGGCGTAGGTGCCAGCGAAGGCGCAAGCGTTGATTCCGGCGTCAGTGCTGGCGTGGGCGCACGCGCAGGTGCCGGTGTAGGCGCTGTCGTTGGTGCTGGCGACTGTGCTGATGCAGGCGCTGGCGCTGGTACCAGCTGGCGCAGGCGTCGGCGCTGGCGTCGGCGCTGGCAGCGGCGCTGGAGAAGGCGCCGGCGTTGGGGCTCGCGTCCGTGCTGGCGTCGGTGTTGGCGCAGGCGCTGACGTTGGTGTCTGGTGTCGGCGTCGGCGTCGGTGCCTGCGTCTGCGCTGGTATAGCGAACGCATTCGTGCCGGCGTGGGCGCCAGTGTTGGTGCTGGCGTTCGTGTTGGCGTCGGCGCTGATGGAGGCGCTGGCGTTGGTATTAGCGTAGGTTCAAGCGATAATGCTGGCGTCGGCCCTGGTCAGAAAGCGGCGATAGTTCTGGCGTCGGTGCTGGCCGGTGCTGGTGTCGGCACTGGCGATAGTGCTGGCGTGGGCGCCAGCGTTGGCGCTGGCGACGGTGCTGCCCTCGGCGCTTGCGTAGACGCTGGCGCTGGTGTCAGCGGAGACGCAGGCGTGGATGCTGGCGTCGGTGCCGGTGTCGACGCTGGCGTAGGTGCTGGCGTTTGTGCTGGCGACGGTGTAGGTGCAGGCGCCGGCGTTGGTGCCTGCAGGCGTTGATGCTGGCGTCGACGCTGGAGGAGGTGCCGGCGTTGGAGCTCACGTCCGTGCTGGCGTCGGCGTTGGTGTAGGCATTGGCGTCGGTGCCGGCGTAGGGGCAGACGTTGCTGCTGGCGTCGGTGCTGGTGTCGGCTCTGGCTGAGGCGCCAGCATTGGCGACGGTGATGGCATCGGTGGTCGGCGCGGGCGCGGCATTCGTGCTGGCGCCCATTCTGGCGTCGGCGCTGGCGTAGGCGCTGGCGTTGCTGCTGGCCGAGGCGCAGGCCTTGATGCTGGCGTCGGTGTTGGCGTCGGCGCTGGATTAGGCGCCGACGATAGCTCTGGCGTCGGTGCTGGCGCTGCTGGCGTCGGGGCTGGCGTAGGCGGTGGACGTAACGGTCTGGACGTAAAGGTCTGGACGCCCAACTGGACGTGATGGTGGAGGCGCTGGCGTTGGTGCAGGCGGAGGCGCATGCGTCGATGCTGGCGTCGACGCTGGTGTCGGCACTGGTGTAGGCGATGGCGTTGGTGCTGGCGCAGACGCTGGCGCTGGTGCCAGCGTAGGCGCGGGCTTTGGTGCCAGCGTCGATGCTGGCGCTGGTGCTGCTGTAGGCGCTGGCGTTCATGCCGCGTAGGCGCTGGCGTTGGCGCCGTCGTCGGTGCTGGCGTCGACGGCGGCGCAGGCGCTGACGTTGGTGCCGGCGTAGGCGCAGGCATTGGCGCTGGCGTCGATGCTGGCGCTGGTGCTACTGTAGACGCTGGCGTTAATGCCGGCGTAGGCGCCGGCGTTGGTGCTGTCGTCGGTGCTGGCGTCGACGGCGGCGTAGGCGCTGGCGTCGGAGCCGGCGTAGGGGTGGGCGTCGGTGCTGAAGCCGAAGCTGGCGCTGGTGCTACTGTAGCCGCTGGCGTTCATGCCGGCGTAGGCGCCGGCGTCGGTGCTGTCGTCGGTGCTGGCGTCGACGGCGGCGTAGGCGCTGGCGTCGGAGCCGGCGTAGGCGTGGGCGTCGGTGCTGAAGTCGATGCTGGCGCTGGTGCTACTGTAGACGCTGGCGTTCATGCCGGCGTAGGCGCCGGCGTCGGCACTGTCGTCGGTGCTGGCGTCGACGGCGGCGCAGGCGCTGACGTCGGTGCCAGCGTAGGCGAGGGCGTTGTAGATATCGTCGGCGATGCCTTCGATAACTTGCGCGATGCTCGTCGCCGCTGCGCCGGCGGATGTTCCCAAGCGCCCCTGGCGGGGTACTCGAAGCTGAAGAAGAACAGGTTGAAGTGGACGTGGAATGGTTGTGGTGCTGGTCGTTGTGGCCGCACCGCTGCTCGTGATGGCGGTGGCGGGCATTCGTAGAACTCGTGGTGGCGCCCAGCTTTGTCTCGCTGCTGGAAGCCCTCGTCGAACTCGTGGAGGTCGTGCTAGTCCTCGAGCCGCTCAGCAACCTCGCGTCGTTGGGGCCAGAAGCACTCGTCGAGCTCGTGGTGGACGTCGCATCCTAGCAGCAGCTACTGGCCGTCGTGCACATGCTGCTCACCGTCGTCCTGCCGTCGCTGGAACTGGATCCCCTCGTCGAGCTCGAGGTGCACTGGTGCTGCAGATTGCAATGGGGCTGCTGCACGGTGCGCCGCTGGGGGCGTCGAGCTGGCCAGTCCGCCGTTTTCGGCGTACCAGTCCATCCGCTACCACACGGAGGACGGGTATTCAAAGGATGTTCAATCGCGACGGTGCTGGCGTCGGTGCTGGCTTCGGTACTGGTGTGGGCGCCAGTGTTGGTGTCGGCGTATGCGCCGGCGTTGATGCTGGCGTAGGGGCTGACGCTGGCGTAGGGGCGTTGGTGCTGCTGCGCGTGGCGCTGCTGGTCCCAGCCGTGGGAGTCTAAATGGTGTACCGACCTATCCGCGATTTTCGGCGTGTCGGCCCATCCGCTATCACACGGCGGCAGGGGAAACTCCGAGGTGATTCGATGGCGGCGGTGCTGGCGTCGGTGCTGGCGCCGGTGCTGGAGCGGGCGCCGGCGTAGGTGTCGGCGTATGCTCCGGCGTTGATGCTGGCGTAGGGGCTGACGCTGGCGTAGGAAATGGTGCTGCTGCGCGTGGCGCTGCTGGTCCCCCAGCCGCGGGAGTCTAAATGGCGCACCGGCCTATCCGCAATTTTCGGCGTGCCGGCCCATCCGCTATCACACGGCGGCAGGGGAAACTCCGAGGTGATTCGATGGCGGCGGTGCTGGCGTCGGTGCTGGCGTCGGCGCTGGAGTGGGCGCCGGCGTTGGTGTCGGCGCATGCGCCGGCGTTGATGCTGGCGTAGGGGCTGACGCTGGCATAGGGGCGTTGGTGCTGCTGCGCGTGGCGCTGCTGGTCCAAGCCGTGGGAGTCAAACCGGTGCACCGGCCTGCCCGCTAATTTTCGGAGTGCTGGCGCATCCGCAATCGCACGGCGGAAGGGGTACTCAAAGGTGGAACGATGGCGGCGGTGCTGGCGTCGGTGCTGGCGTCGGTGCTGGCGCGGGCGCCGGCGTAGGTGTCGGCGTAGGCGCCGGCGTTGGTGCCAACGAAAGGGCTAACGTTGGCGAGGAGGCGATGGTGCTGCTGCGCGCTGCGCTACTGGTCCAAGCCGTGGGAGCCAAAGCGGTGCACCGGGCTATCCGCGATTTCCGGCGCGCCGGCCCATCCGCTCCCGCACGGCAGAAGGGGAACTTAGAGGTCGAAGCTGCTGGTGCCCAACGCGCTGAGGACAAGCCGTGCTGCACCTTGTCGTGTGGCTGCTGCAGTCGGTCGTGCTGTGCATCGTCGGGCTGCGTGCCGTCGTGCTGCTGCGCGCCATCCACGGGCGTGAGAATTGCAATGCTGCGTTGCTGAACGTCATGGCCATGATGATGGTGATGAACGATGAACGGACCGTGGTGTAGAAAAACACGAACACGAAGCTGTGCTCGAGGGCGAAGTGCAAGAAGTGGCGGTAAATGCGCGGCCGGGCCTGCAAGCCGAGCACAGGCAGCCAGGGGGCGGAGATAAAGTTGACGAGCGGGGATGCCGTACGCTCTGGGACTCGAAGTCGATCTGCGACGGCTCGCAGGAGTGTGTAGAATAGCACCCGCGCCACTGAAGCAAGGCCGAACATGGCCGGCATCAACACCACTGCCCAAGCGCCCGGTTCGCGGCAGCGTGGCCCCGCACCAGCTCCCAGACTGCCTGTTGAAGAGCCTCCTGCGCCGCCGCTCCTGCAGGGATTGCGCCGTGGCGAACCATGCAGTGCACTTTGTACACGGCTGCAGTGCGGAGTGTCTTGCGCGCCAGTAGCAGCGGATCCGCGTCGATGCTGTTCGGGCCCATGTCCAGCAGGAGAAAGCAAGCCAAGCACTCCCCCCAGGAAGCCGGACGCTGCATCCCCAGTCGCGACTGCGCGAATCTCCACACATGGGGACACGACGCATAATGCTGGATTGCATCTTGGGCGCCAGGGCCACAGAAGGCACAGCGGTCGGCGTGACCACCTCGCCCTTGGAAGCGCCGGAAGGTCACCCACCCGTTCCACTGCGTGCGCCACGTCGCCGCGAGCACTCTCGGCGGGACCATCGCCGACAAGCGGCCGAGCACCTGCAGGCAGCGCTGGGCGCGTATGCGCGGGAGTTGCGGGACGTCCCAATATTCCAGCTTGTGGCGGGTCCTCGTCTCAATGCAGGTCGTCGGAGGCACGGGTAAAGCGGCCAGCGCGGCGCCCTGGAAGCGGCGACGCACTCGGTGAGCAGTGCTCTGCCGGAAAGGCCTCTGCTCGCCGCCGGTCAGCTCGTTTTCCAGCGCCAGCGGGGTGATTCCGACGCGTCGAAAATGAAGAACTGCGTCCTCCAGCTGCACAGCGAACGCCCGCTGGAACCAAGACGCCCAAGTCCCCATCCTCACCACGTGCTCAGTATTCGCCAGCCAATGGCGAAGCTCGCGCGCACGCTGCTCCCCGCGAAGCCCGGTCGGCTTCGCCTCCAAGTGCGCCACCCGAAACCGGCTCGCCAGCGAGAGCAGCGCGGCGTCCGGGAACTCCTGCGGGAAACCGAATGCGCGGAGGTTGCGCAAGTCGTTCGGCACACACCACGCACCAGGCCCTCGAACCAGGGAACGGAAGGCGGCAGCCTCTGCGCTGGCCCAGGCAGCGGGCAAGGAGTCGAGTTTAAGAAGGAAGCCGACGACCGGGAGGATGTACACCTTGTATGCCAAGATGGTCAAAAGTAAGCCGCCCCCCGCCGCGCCCCAGGCCTCCGCCCTTGTCTTCAACTTCTGGAGCGGTTTCTCGAAGGATCGTTCGCCGCGGTCGGGGCCCAACACGAAGCCGAGATACTTGGCGTGACGCTCTGTGCGCATTCCGGCCCAAGCAGGGAAGTTCCAAGCAACCGCCGCAGCAAACTCCGGCAGCTCCTGCAGGAACAATGGGACGATTACCGTCTTTGGTAAGCTTAGACGCAGTCCCGAGATCCGAGCGAACTCCTCGAAAATCTGAATGAGCGCCGGGAAGGACCCCGTGCCGGAAGGAAGCACTGCGCCCACGTCGTCGGCATAGGCCCGGACCACCGCATCTGGAACAAGCCGCGATATTCTCCGAAGCAAAATGTCAACTGCTGCTGAGAAGAGGAGCGGCGAGAGCGGACAGCCTTGCCGGATGCCTGCTAAAAGTTCAAAGCCTTCGTGCTGCCGGCCGCCGGCCACCATTGCGCAAGTGTTCCTCAAGGCTCAAGAAGCTCAAGAAGCTCCCACCGGGCCGCCCTCCGCTTAGCCTGCCGCGCCGCGCGGCCTGCCGCGCCGCGCGCCATGAGCAGCACAGCGCGGCCCCACCGCCAGGCTCGCCCCGTCAGGGAGGCACTTCAGCCTGCAGGACCCACCTGGAAGTCGGCGGCTCTCCTGGTGCTGGACGGGGACTCCATGCTGATGACCGCGATCCTGAGTGCGCTCGGCGCGGACTCCGAGCCGGAGGTGTTCTCCCACCTGGGGTTCATTTGCCGCGCGGACTTCGGCGACCAGCTGGAGCTGAGCGACCTCCAGAGCGGCGGCGACCAGCTGCAGTTCAGCGTCCACCAGGACATCAGCCACCAGCTGGGGATCACCGTCCGCCTGAACATCGGCGACAACGTTGACGTGCAGGACGATGAAGACCAGCAGCAGCAGAACCCTGAGCTGCGCGACGGTGAGCGGCAGCTTGAGGCGGCCATCCAAGCCGGCACCGACCCCAGCACCGACGCCAGCAACATTGAAGCTGGTACCGGCGCTCGCACCGACGCTGGCGCCGACTCCGGTACGTGCGCCAGCAGCCTCGACGCCGGCTCCTTCGACGTCGCCAGCAGCATCGACGCCAGCACCAACTGCGTCACAGAGGGAAACATCAACGCCGGCGCCGACGTCGGCTCCGATTCCAGCACCGTCGCCAACAGCATCGTCGCCAGGACCTTGTCCATGCAGGGCACCATCCTTGCTGCGGTGCTGCTCCGCGAGGACTATGAAGACGATGACGAGGACCACGACGAAAAGGACGAGGAGGACATGGCCGAGGAGCAGGAGGTGGCCCAGCAGGGGAAATATACAGAAGTTCACGGCGAGGACAAGGGCCACGGCCTCAAGGAGGAGGAGGAAGAGGGGGAGGAGGCGGTATACGAGGAAGGGCCAGGATTTTCTGTTCCATTTCGACAGGCGCCTGCACAGGAGACCCCCCTACCCGACCAACTCCTCATCATGGAGGGCACCACGAAGAATGGCTCCACTGACCAGCTGAGGATCGGCTTCCACCTGGATTCCGAGAACCTGCAGGAGATCCGCGTCCACCAGGAGTTCGTCGTCCAGCGGCAGTTCTTCGACCCCCTGGACATCAGCGACCCGTTCGGGGCCCACGTCAACCTGGACCTCGAAGACCGGCTGGGGACCATGGTCCACCAGGACGTCGGGGAGAAGTTGGAGGACATTGACGTCAGCGCCGCCGCCGGGGTCAGCACCAGCGCCAGCAGCATCGACGCTGGCCCCGACTCCGGCTCCGACACCGGCTCCGACACCAGCAGTATCAGCGGTTGCACCGATGCCAGCACCGACTTCGGCACCAGCGCCAGCAGCCTCGACGCCAGCAAAGACTCCAGCACCAACGCCGGCATGGACGACTCCGACACTGTAGTCTGCAGCATGGGCGCCAGATCTGGCTCCAGCACCCAGTCCAGCAACATTTCCGCGGGGACTGGCTCCGAGACCGACGTCAGCAGCAGTGACGCCAGTACCGACTCCAGCGCCGACGCCAGCAGCGTCGACGCTGCTTCCGACTCCAGCATCGACGCCGTCACCTACGCCGGTACCGACTCCAGTGCCGCCCTGGTTTTGCACATCTTCGTGAAACCTCCGGACAGGAAGCCCATCAGCTTGGACATTAAGGCTGACGACACGGTCGAGTCCCTTAAGAGCAAGATCCAAGGCAAGGCGGGCATCCTCCCCGACCAGCAGCGCTTGATCTACGCAGGGAGGCAGATGGAGTCGGGCCGGAGACTCACAGAGTACAGCGTCCAGAACGAGGCGATGATCTATGTGGGGCTGTCGCTTTCCGGAGGCATGCAGAACGCCGAGCAGGTGTGCCCTATCTGCATGGGCAGCTCTACTTGGTGCCAGTGTGCTCGCGGCGCCGCAGCTGGGGCGGCTACTATTTCATTGAGCTCTTCCCTCGGGTCGTCGAGGTTCTCTTCCGTCGGCCAGGCCAGCGCCGCCGCCCCTGCAGCAGGTGGGCAGCAGCCTCAGGGCCTCCAGGGTGGCGGGCCTGCCGGCGTCGCCGAGCCCTCCCTGGCGCCAGCTTCCGCTGCTATGCCTGTGGATGATGGGGATTCGGGGCTGACGCAGGGGGTGGCCGCCGTCTCCATCGAGGCCGCCCCAGTAGCACAGGCCTCTGCGGGCTCGCGCCAGCCTCAGCAGCCTGCGGCCGTGCCGCCCTCGGCTGGGCCGGCTGCCCCTCAGCCGCCAATTCTTGGTGCCCGCGCTCCCCTGGGCATCACTATGCTCACTGGGCAGCTCCCGCCTGGGCTCCCCGATCCTGACGATGTGGCTCGCTGCTCCGCCCGTGAGCTTTTCGAGTTGGGGGAAGAGGAGCTGCTGCAACACAGGCACGTGATCGAGGCGCTGGTCGCCAACGGCCAGATCCAGGTGGGCAGCTCGCTGCCTGGGTCGCCCCTTGCAGGATGGCTGCCGCTTCGCGCTTTCCTGGAGAAGCTCGCCCTCCGCGCGGACCTGGTCGATCATCGGGCCCGCCTGGGGCTGTTCCCACGGGAAGGCCCCCTTCCCGACCATGCGAGCATTGAACGACGATGGTGGCGGGCCCGGCTCTTCCTATCGTGCTCCTCAGCGTCGTCGTGGTCGGAGGAGGATCGGGCGTCAGCAGAGGAGGCGCACTCGCGCTTCGAGCGAGCCTACAAGTTCTGCCTTGATGATCTTCCACGGGTTCTTGCTGCTCGTCGCCGCGACCGTGGTGATCCTCTCCCTCGTTGGCAAGAGCTCGGAGAAGCGGCAGTTGAGTTTCTCCTCAACACCCCTGCATCGGAGGGGGAAGTCGTGGCGACCCAGCTCTCAGGGGTGCTGCCGCTCCCACGGGCCTGCTGGATCACCCGCGCCTGCTGGCCCCGGGGGCTGCCCGCGGCCTGGCGCATACAGCTGTTGAGGGCAAGGATTTCTTCCCCCTGCTCGGCACTGGCGGGGTGGCCATGTGGGCCCCGGCGGATCAGTCGGCTCTGGGACGTCTTCTATCCGGGTACATGCGCCGCGCTGCGAGCAGTCCGCAGCCCAGGCCCATGCGGCTTCTGGTGCCCATGGATGTCTTTCCAGGCTGCTCCACAGCTGGCCTGATCAAGGACCTATTCTGGCATGCGCTGCTGGGCGAGCGTTGGGCGCCCCTTGTCTGGGAGCAGGCTTTCGTCCACCAGGAGCTGCAGATGGTGTCTACTGGCAGCGGCGGCCCGGCGCACGTGTGCCGAGGTCTTCTGATCGCCACTTTGTCACCCTCGCTGCCGCCCGCCGTGCCCAAGGTGCTCTCAGTCGCGGAGCCTCTGATTACGGCCCGCGCGGGCCACTCTTTCTTCGTGGACTGCCCCACCTTGAAGACCCCCATGGCTTTGAACGTTGCTGAGGCTGCTGGGGCGCTGTTGAGGGCTCGCGTGGGACCCTGCATGCGGAGCCCCGCCTCGTCACCAGAGCTGCCGCGGACACGCTTCGAGGTCTTCTTGCCCGTCGGTCAGGCCACGGAGCTCGACCTCACCCTGCTCATCAGGAACTTGCGTCTCAATCATCTCCCTGCAGGCTCGCTGGTTGGATCCCGCCAGCTTTATTCTGACAACAGCGCCTTGCTGGTGGACCTGACTGCGCCGGCCGCCATTCATGCCGTGTGGCACTTGTGCGCGGAGGCGATCTTCATCACACCCAGGCTCGTCACCATCCGCGCAGCCTCGACTCCAGAACAGTGGCGGCCAGTGTTGGACCAGATTCTGGCCGCGGATGCGTCGTGCTGCGTGCTGAAAGTGAGGTGGCGCTCCTCCCGGCATGGCGGCCGCCCCTGGGTCACCCCCACGGCGACACTCAGCAGCTGGCAGTTGTCAGGAGGTCTGGCAATACGGCGGCGGCACGGGGGTCGAGCGGGGCATCAGCCATGACCACGCTCACTGTCGAGGGCTCCTTGGGCTACGACCCGCCGGCGGTGGTCCGCAGCCTGATGGCCGTGATCCGGGATCGCACCGGAGTGGCGCTCGCGGAGGCGCCGCAGGAGGGCGAGCCTGGCAGCGGGACGTGGTACCGTTTGGCTGACCGTGACCCTTCTGCGCACCCTGGCCGGGTGCGGCTGCAGCTGACGACACTGGAGGAGGCCCGCAAGATCATTCAGGAAGTGCACGGCCGCGCCGTCCAACTTGGCACTGACCTGATCAGCATCTCGGTCGCGAACGACGAGTTGGAGCGGCAGCAGGGAAACGAGCAGCGGGGACGGGCGGGCCAGGGCCTCGCCCCCGCCAGGGTGGCCGGCCAGCCTGCTGGCCGCCAGTCCGCCTGAGCCCTGGCACTTGGGGAATTGAGGTCACTGCCCAGTCTGGGCTCCGCTCTTGGGCTCTCGACCTCGACTTGCACGCCCGCCGTGTCGATCACGGCGATGTTCCTCTCTGCATTCACCCCTCTGCCCCTCATATTCTCCGCGCTTCCTCAGCGCTGCCGCATGGTCGCCCTCTCGCCGCAGCGCACCTGCCCCAACGCAGCCTCCTCTCCGACGCTCGCCTTGCCGCCGAGCTCCCCGCGCTGCCGCCAGCACGCCCTGCCCCCAGAGTGCGGACTCGCCGCGCCCCTCGCCCTCCGGCGGACCCCCCTGGCCACGGTCAGCCTCCCGACGGCCGCGCGCCTCCTGGAGCAGTCCCCGAGGGAGGATTGGTCTTGGCGCCGTTCCGGGGAGAGTTGCATGGAGCGTCGTGGAACACGCAAGCGCTTTTTGCACGAAAGCGCGACCGCCATATGGCTAAGGACGCCTACGTACGCCGGCTGCTGCGGAAGCGGGACTTCGTGACGTTGTCTGAGACGCACGGCCTCGAGGGCGAGGGCCTGGCATGGGGCTGCCCCCTTGGCTGCCGCGCCTGGTTCTCGCCAGGCACGGCCGGTCAAGCAGGCGTCGGCCTCGTTGTCAAGAACACCTTCCTGGAGAACTTCGACCCGGCTTTGACTCGTTG